GTACCACTGACGTGGGAGCTCGTCGGCCGTCGTTGTGGGCCAACCACGCCGCGTGATTACTCTGGCGGAACGACGAGGCGTCGGCGTATGCGCGTCTCTTCTTCGGCATTCTCATGCGCTAAGAGCCCCAATGTAATTGCATCCTTGAACCGAAGCGGCACCCGCTGGAGATAGGATGGAAAGTGCGCCAGCGTCTTCTTCGGTTTGCCAATGCGCAGCTAGAACCAATGGTTCGATAGACAATTTTGCGACATACTAGTCTAAATTGTTTTACCCGTTCTTGGCGCTGCCGCAAGAGCTGCTCCTCGGTCAGGGGCGCGTCCGGGTGGCTCAGCGATCGAACGTGGTCGGCCCACGCTTCGTAAAAATCATCGAGCAGCTCGTAGTAGAGTCTACACTTCCGATGAGAAAGGTATTTCCGTCGAAAACCAACTTGAGATTCGCGCGCTCTTGGCCGTCCTTGTAGGCATCCTCACGATCGGCGCGCCGACGGAGGTTTCTACATGACTCGGGCTGAGTCATTGTACTCGAATATTGTTTGGCAACTTGTGTCGGCGCCACTGCTGCTTGTAGAGCGCACTGCCCAAGGCCATGGGATAGGCCAAGTGCACGGGACTCTTTCCATAGGTCGTGAAAGGAATGTGCCCGATCGTCGCGTGGTCGACGTCAATGTGGCGATGGCGGCCCTTGACCTTGCCTTGACTAAACGACCCTTCATACAGAAACCGAACACTGGTCTACGCCGACATCTGGTAAGCGGCAATGCGGGCTTTTTTTGTCATGGACCTCTGGATCGGACGGCAACGTCTGGTGGTACGCGAGGTCGCCACGACCAGAGGGCAGATCATTGTACCAAAAGGCTCTCAATGTGCTGCCGTCGTGGGATTCCAGCACACCGCGGCCGCACTTGGCACCTACATCAATGTCGGTCCACTTGTACTTCAAACGCTTTTTCCTACCATCTCGAAACGAGCCGTGATAGACGTCGTTGTACTGGTTGGTCTGCGTCCCCAGTCCGTTCAGAACGCCGTGCTCAAACACACCTTCCTCGCACAGCCTAGGGGTAGGGTAGGGCTCGGGTTGTGTCATGAGGCAAGAGGGCGAACCCGTTGGGCTCCTTGCGGTACCCAGGACCGTGCAAGAGACCTTCGAAGAAGATGCCTTCTTCGATTACACCCGCGGATGAGACGTAGCGCCCACGACCCGTGACCTGGCCGTTCTCCATCTCGCCTTCGTACCTACTCGGTCATGTGTTCGCTTTCAAAGTCAAGACAATAGTGTCGTACGTGGCGCCATCTGCAAACTTGATGGTCCCTGTGCCGTGAGGGACACCGATTTGGAATTGCGTTGGCAGCACGGGCTTAGGGTACGGTTCGGGCTTGGGTCGTAGCTCGTACTTGGACCGAGGGACGTCAAAGTCGCCCGCATATTCGTCGCCGCGGCCATAGACCATGACCCCTACCACAAGAAAGACATGGGGCACGAAATGATGCAGGGGATATAATACCGTAGCCGCGTCGCACGTTGTACTCGTAGCTGCCCTTGTAGACGCCATAATTCGTGTACTCGATGGCCTTGGGGTCATGCTTTGTGCCGTCGACCCACGCTCCACGGTACATGGCATCGATCGAGCTAAAATGAAAGTCATCGTCGGTCGGCAGGTCGTCGGTGGCATAGAAATCTACTCGTTATCGACATTTTCAGAAGTGATAGAGCGATATTTTGCACACCGCCAGGGCCGTGCTTGACGCGGGAGATGCGCACCATGCGCATGTTGACTTCCAGCGATGGGTCGTCAAATTCGTCGCACGAGACGGACGGTACAGGGCGCGTTTTGGCCAAGCGGAGGTCCCCCCAGTCGCGTTTGTGGATGGCCTACATACAATATTGTCTTACGATTGTAGACACATATCGAAGGTGCCGTTGCACCATGAGCGCAAGGTCGTGGCCACGCAGACTCGTAAAGTCGGCGAACCAGTGGTATTTTTCCTTCTCCTAGAATATCGCAAGTGGTTGCAATCGCAATTCAATCCAAGTTCAGAGTACGTTTTCCTTGGCCGCGTCGACAAACCGGTGCTCGGTCTATCGATGTTTGGTTGTAGAATTCCATAAAATGGGATGCTTACGCCGTCTTTGAGGTAACTCAGGGTGACGGGTTCGCTCAGAAAGAGCCGCGTCCAGCGCTTGATGCACTCCTTTGTCGTTTGAATTTGATTGTCCAAGGTTTGCTGTTGCGCATTGATGGCCCGCGTGACTTGCTGCCGCGTGTCGACCTGCTCCGCCTTCTTTCCGCTCTAGCACCATAATAGTACGTCGACTTGGCAATCGTTGTCGTTGTTCATATCCAAGTCAAAACCCGCGCGTACCACTTGCATCGTGCCAACGGTCTCGAGGCGGTCGAGGAGGAGGTCCTTCTTCTTTTCCAGCACCGAGAGCTTGAACTTTGCGTCGTGGATTTGGTCGTAGTCCATGAGAAGGCCGTGGAGAAGCCAGTGCCGTAAGTCCATCTCGGTGCACTAGCATGGAGAGAAAACGATCAGAAGGACTGCAATAGGAAGCTGTCTGGCACCTCTTTCGGGACATTGGCCACTTTAATCACCGTGTAGCCTTCGTAGCGCGGGTCCATAGCATCATCATAGGGCAGCGGCTCGTCGCTCTCGACGATGTCGTAGCACCACGGCTCGGAGAGCGTCGCAGGCATCATCTTGAGCTGCCACTCGCGCGGCCATAGCACCACTAGCATCATTTCGTACAACGCGCTGTCGTCATCGCGTCCACGTACTGCCAAATGGGTCACGCGCATAATATGCGTTGCAGTGAAAGAGCCGATTGACGACCTTTCTACTCGCGTGAAAATCACATGCGATCGTGGTGGAGGTTGACGCACAAGCGGAGGTTGGCGCGGGTAATGGCTCGGTATGGGTTGGTGGCGACGTCGGTGTTCTCTGGATCAAAGACGCGTAGGCGAATCGAGTCTTCCTTGAGCTCTGCGACGATCTTGCCGGTTTTGGTATCGAGTACCTTGCGGCCGGTCCGGGACTTGGTCGCCGCCATGTTGCGCGTCGTTTCGACAAGATCCACACTATAGGTTTTTCTATACCATACCCATTTCGGAGTCATCGGGATCGGCCCTCACGCGACTGCCTCGACGTTGCTGCTGTATGGGTACTTGATGGAGACGCTACAACGCGATGACGGTATATACACGGCCCTGGATAGCTCAAACTCGTGGGGTCGACTCTGTTTGCATTGCATACCCATGCTGTTAGCGAGCGAATCGGACTGCATTTACCATATCTGTCTCATTTGAATGTCGTTTTATCCTTTTTGTCCTCGGTGCTTGCATGGGACGCGGTGGCGCGGCCATGGCCAAACGACAGTGGTAATACGTGTAGACTTTCTCTATGGAAAACATGCGTCGGGCTCCTTTGCCCATGCAGGGACGTCGGTCCCAGGCGCCTTGGATCGCTGAGCCCGCGTGCGATCGTTCTAGAAGCGAGTAGCTAGGATCCTCTTCAAGGATCTTGGAGCCAGAATGAAGATGTCGACGCACACTTCTTCAAGGTACTCGGCCCTTCTCGCGTCGTGGGGTCGGCCACCTGCTTCGATGAAACAATCTCTGGACGCTACCGACAACCTTTGACAGTGAGACTGATACGAGAAATGGAATATGCCGCACCGACTGGGAGAGACATTGATGTTGGCTAAACCAACGCAACCACAGGCTGGATCGTAGGCGCCTCGCCCTGTATTGTGCATGTGATGGTGCCAAGCCTGGGCGCTGTATACAGCGTGCACAGGTGGTTACCTCGACACGGTATATACAGGATGCGAACGCGAGGCTAATGTCGCCGATCACTTTGGCCCCGCGAGCCAAAGTGGCGTGCTTTTAGATATACCGGTCGCCCAGCGGGGGCACGCTCGTCAACGCTGCATACTGAAACCAAGAGAAAGGTTGTATTTTAAAACGCTGTCTTTTTCTATTTTTGTGTCGCAGCCGCCACTTTGTCATTTCCAGGACGCCGACAAGCATCATGGCGACCTACCGCCCATGCACTCTGCGCGTCCACGTGCACAAGGCGACCGACTTGGCGGCCGCGGACTTTGCCCTCTTGCGCAAGGCGACGAGCGACCCGTATGTGATTCTCTCGATCGACCGGCAGCGCTTCAAGACGCCAGTGCTGCTGCGCGAGCTCAACCCGGTCTGGGAAGGCTGCGTATACGACTTCAACATTACGCAAGGCGACTTGTACACTAAGGTGCTCGACATCCAGGTCATGGACGAGGACGATCTGTCGGCGGACGACATCATTGGGACGCTCGCGATCCCGCTCGCGCAGTTTGCCAAACAGATTGACGGCCTCGACAGCAGTGCCAAGATGCGCTCGTACAACTTGAACGTGCCCGCCGAGTTTGAGCGGCAAAAGGTCAACAGTCAGCTGTACCTCTCGATCGAGGTCATTGCGGGCGAGCACGTTGTCGACGGCTCGTTCGTGCCCCGCCTCCTCAAGGTTGAGTTGCACCAGGCCATGGACTTGGCGGCGGCGGACTTTGCCCTCTTGCGCAAGGCGACGAGCGACCCGTATGTCATCTTCTCGGTCGAGTCGCAGCGCCACAAGAGCCCCGTGATCCCAAAAGACCTTAACCCTGTCTGGGACAACTGCTGCTACGAGTTCCATTTGACGCAAGGGGACATGTTTACAAAAGTCCTTGACGTGCAAGTGTACGACCACGACAGCGCGAGCGACGACGATCTCATTGGCACGGCGGTGCTCCCGCTCGCGCAATTCGAGCAGCAAAACGAAGCCAAGCGCCGGTCGTTTACGCTCGCCGTGCCCGACGAGTTTCGCAAGCAGCGCGTCAACTCGCAGCTCGTGCTCACCATCACGGTCGAGAAGCCTGGGCCCGTGACCGCCGACGAAGAGAAGGAGGCCATGATCCAAAAGATGCAACTGGAAATTGCACAGCTGCAAGCGTCGAGCCGTAGCATTGTGACCAAGCTCGACCGGCAAATGAGCCTCCCGCCAGCGCCATCGTCGCCCAAGGCCGGTCCGCCACCGTCGCCGTCGCGCCAGCCGTCCATCGAGACGGGTACCATGCATCGCTTAACGTATGGCCGCTGATTTTGTGCGTAGATCGCGACGCGACGCGTCGGGCGCTCGTCAACGAGCTCCACGGGTTGCTCATGCTCCCAAAGATTGAGAAATTCCACAAGTTCAAGCCCGTGACGCAAGACGCGTATGCGTCCAAGCTCGAAGACGAAATCGAGGCCCTCAAGGAGGAGCTCGCGAAGCAGCAACAGACGCACGCACTCGCCCACCAGATGAAGGAAGCCGACGAAGACGAGGTGCTCCGGCTCCGCGACGAGATAGCACTGCACAAGGCGACGTTGGCGGCAACGCAGAAGATGATGCAGGACCAGCTCGTGCGCGAAGAACTCCAGGCGCAGGAAATGGAGCGGCTCAAGATCTTTACCCGGTCGCTCTCGATCACCGAGGCGCCGCGACCGGCCATGAGCCCACGCTCTAAATCGACGAGCGCAATGGTGCACGACGACAAGGCAGCCGACGATGCGTCCATGTGGCTCTAACCCCACATAAGATCCTATTCAACTATACCACTCCATTTATTCCATCGAAAATCGAGAAAAATAAGGTGCTCGTAGTCGCAGTCGATCTCAACATCCTGCCTGCATATTAGTACATTCAAAGCCGACTTGGCGACTCGCACGGCATTTCGTCCGTCGATAAGGCCGTGTTTGGTTTTCATTTTTTGGTGGATCCTGGTGGATCGAGGCAAAAGTGAATCGGCCAGGATTCACTGGTGGATTCGTAGGATCACTGGTGGATTCGTCGATGCCAACCGGATCACTTTTTACACCGAACACGGCCTCAGGGAGGCGTAAGAAAGGTTCAGAGTGGTAAATTCAAGAGTCCGATCTTGTTGGAGGGTGTGGCAGTTGTTCGCTTGAGCGACTGTTGGGGTTAGGTTTGTGTCGGAATTGGCACCTCGTGCGCGGGGCTATCAACGAGACACATCGATAGCGCTGTTCAATATGTCTCTTCTCTCAATTCGCTTTCTTGGCGAGCGCGTCAAGCCCCGGAGCCCGCAACGTACAAGTGATGGAGTAACGATGTGGCATTCCAAGAGCAGAGTGCCAGTGTTTGGTGTGCACGGCTGTCCAGACGTGGCGAGTCGTTGTGTATGGCTGCTTACTATAAGAAGTGATGTGTGCGAGACTCGTCCACGACCACCGTGCCCACATCCTCGTACGTAGCTCGATGCTGATGCTGTGTCAACATCGCCTCCTAGTCCGTCATAGCTGTGCCGTCAACGCTTCCGCGACCTCACCAAAGAGTGACCCATGGAGAGCTGTTTTTGTCCCGCATGCCCGACACCGCCTACCACACTTTGTTGATACCATGTACGAGATAAGGCAGATTGCTGCATGAATCGTACTTTATTTGCTTTCAAATATGATGTCGAAACTTTTCGACTCTGTTTTCTAGCTTTGTCCGATCTGTCTCGAGGCTTCCTACGTCCTCCACTCCTTCCGCAATGGCTCGTAGGGTTGTCGTAGGGTTGGGGGAAGGGTAGGGAGCTCCATGAAATACGTCAACACTTGTATCAACGACTCTATGTGCTAGGTGCATATTCGGGGCAAATGGACGCAATGGCAATGGGCACTTGACGGTCGACGTCGTACATGACCGGTGGTTGCTTGGCTGAGTGCACCAAGTGCGCAGTGACAGCGCGCGCGCAGGAGGCGTACATAAACTTGAAGCCGCCGGGGAAATGAAAAAAGACCGGCGCCGACCCACTCCACGTCAAGCGGCTGCCGCTGCCGTTGACATAGTACGCTGACGAACACCCGCTGTTGGGCGTGAGGTGCTCGAACGTCCCGTGCGCAACGCTCGACGACACGACAAAGAAGATGTCGCCGTCACGGTCGACCTGCGCGTTGAGCTCGGGAAATTGCACGTACGCGAGCTGAAACGAGATTTGGTCGCCGTAAAAGAAGAAGGGACTTGTCCCAGCTTCGTAGGCGTCTTGCTGCGCCTTGTGCACTTGCTTGACGCGGCGGAGATACGCGCGGACGCTTGCAACGTCGCCGAGGATGCCCCCCGAGCCAAGAAACAGATTCGGGCCTGTGCCATGCTACATCGTATCAGTGTATCAGTCTATCAAGCGTTTTCCATGTCCAAGATGCAAATATGAGCGTACACTTTGCGCGACGGACCGAGCCCGGATTTCGTCGCACATGTAGGACCCGCGCACGGACCGCGCGGATGACGACGTGTTTAAACGCACGTCAAAGGACGCGGCGCGCAGCTGGTCGCCGTAGTCGCCGCCAAGGGTGAACGAGTCGCCGCAGGTGGGCTCGGCGTTGAAGAGGATGCCGCGCTGCCCTTTCGTTTGGCGCAAGAAGCGCTGCGTGAGCACGTCCATTGGCATTTGTACGACCACGTCATAGGCGTCCGTGTACAAAAGCAGGTCGTCGTCGTGCAAATCCGGGTGCGACTCGATGTAGTGGTGCAGCCAGTGGGTCTTTTTCTGCTGTCCGACGCGAAAGTCGTTGGCGGTATTGGCCCCGCACTGGGCCCCGCACGACGTGTTGTCGAAGAATTTCGTCGAGTGATTCCACGCCAGCACCTGCAGCTGATGGCCCATCGCGTGCACGGCGGCGGCGACGAGGCAGATTGCGGGGCGCGGGTCGTCGGCGAGCGTCAAAAAATGAAGTTTGCGCGGGGTGTAGCGGGGAGGCGTGTCCCCTTGCCGCAACGTGCGCTCGAGGTGGGCCAAGTGCACGACGGAGAGCGTGTTGAAGACGATGACGAAGAGCGCGAGGCACCCGAGGCCGAGCACGAACGGCTTGGCACGGAGCATGGCGTCGAGGGATTTGGAAAGTGATCCTCCACATTGTGTTGTGGTTGCGCTGGTCGTCGGCTTAAATTATTCCTTCCATATGACCAACGAGAGGAGGAAATCCAGTGTAGCTTTGAATCGCGCTTTGGTGCTGCTGGATGCTCGCGGCCATCTGACGAACACCACCTCTGAATCGCAAAAGGCAGCAAGCGACGACGATGTACAGCGTGCGCGGTTGAAATACGACATAGAAAAAATAGGGGCATCGGAAGCGATGCACTCAGCTCGCTCGTTCGACACGATATGGGAGGCCCTCGAGTCCATCGAGTGCCATGGAGGGGTCGTGGTACAGTCAGCTGCGGCGGTACCGTAGTGAGCCCCCCCATGTGCGTGGTACGAACGCGTTACGTTGCCCGACAGCATGTGCGATATGCCTAATGAGTGCCACGAAAGTACAACAGATGTGTAGACTATCACATCGCGGCAAGGTGTTTGTAGAAATTTCAAGAGATCGCGAGACCCGCGGTACCATAATCAGCTCAAAAATTCCCGTCTCGTCCTGCTCCGCTCAAATTTCCATGTCATGACTGCCTAGTGGTGTCACCGCGCGGCAGAGTATGTGGACCGGACATCCCGCGACGCCGCACGCATTCTCGCTAGGATCACTTCACGATCACCAAATACAATATTGTCCAGCGCTGGACAAACGGACTAGCATTCAATGTTAATGACATCTAGTCCACACGCTTGTGGTGGTGGTAGCCATTTCGAAGTCGTCTCTCACGCTTGTAATTGGAAAGGATGCAACTTGCGAGGACCACTGTCTTTGTAAAGACATGTGTTGGCACCTGAACGACAAATCCAGTTGTGAAGAGTGTCCGCTTGACGCACCCGGACACTCGTGGAGCGGTGCACTACTACCGTACGTGTGGTATATTTATCTTTTCACGTCCGAGCGAGAACGGACGCCAACCATGCCGTCTCGGTCGTGCAACCGCTACAATGGTTTGGGCTCCATATTTGGCAACGGTCGTGGCGGCTGTTCAAGTGCGTCGTTGTTGAAGTGAGTCTATTTCGATATCATACTGGCAGGGGCTGTTTTTGGCGGTGGCTTTTTCGACTCAAAGCGTGTTGCGACGAACAGCAACGATGGCGGACGTCCTTCGTTCATTATGACACTCGGTGCAGGGACGAGGTCGAGGCCGACGAAGACGGAAGCGCGATTCGCCGGACAAGATATTGGCGCGGCCACTCGTGTTGTGTCAAAAGTCACAGAAGCCAGAGAAGATTGGGCTCGGGAACGAGGCTGAGTATCGCGACGCGTGTCGCCGTCGCGGCAATAATTGTCCATGGACTTGGTCGTGGTAGCTCTTCGCGGAAGACGCGATCGTTCCAGACGCGCCAGACATTGAGCCAGACGCAGGCGCGGCGCACGGGCTAAGAGCTTTGGAATTTGGTGTATGTTGTAGACCATCTTGGGCATTGAGAAGAGGTACAGGCCGAGAACGTCGTTGATGAGACCGCGCCCAAAATGGGGTACGTGGCTGCGTGGAGCATGACCCCCACGTCCGTGATAAAGTCGCCGTCGGCAAGGAAATGGCGGTACGTCTCGTGCGCGGGGTAAAAGAGATATACCAGTTGTGGTAATAACTGTCGCTGTTCAACGGGCCAACCGCCGCATGATGGTGGGGTACCCAACGCTAGACACAGCAATGACGACCCATGGCCTTGCATTCGACCCTAGCCTCCTCCAACCCAACAGCCTATTTGCCCTTGACCCTATTTTTCCTTGGAATATTGCTCCCAAGAGACATCAACATATCTATTTACACTTGTGTATGTCCCTTGCTACTACACTGTAGTTTATAAACTTTCGGTGGGGCATAAAGGAGTCATCCGCGAGCTACGGCACATCATTGGCAAAGCACTCATATATCCATCTATCTATCTATATTTGCTCTGCAATCGCTCCCACAAATGGTGGTCAAGTATCGTCACACAGCGACGTTGAAACCCCCGCTAAAAAAACTTCAACGGCGCGCGTTTCGCAACTTGTAAAAAGGCGGCATGGCGACGACGGTGTCGCTCAAGGGTGTGGACTGGGCCCGTCTCGTCGACCGCGCGCGCGCGCGCATTCTGCCGCTCGTCAGCGTCCTCATCTTCGTCTCAATGGGTGTCGACTTGGTCGTCAACAACTGGGCAATCAACGATCTGCTTGGGAACGGGTACTTTTTCGCAACGCCCGTCGCGTCCGTGCGCTACGCCAAGGACCTCGCTCTAACGTACGCGTTTCCCAAAGGGCGCGCGCCCGCCGACCTCTCGAACGTCGGGCAGCTGCTCGCCAACACGACGGTGCGCGGCTTGGGCTGCAAAAGCGAGCAGATGTACGTCATCTCGGCCGGCGACTACCCGCTCACAAATGCCACGTCGCTCTGCGCGACCTTTCAAAAAACGTACATCAACGTCGCGGTCTCGTCCGCGCTGACAACCCGCCTCGCGACAACGACCGAGACGGTCACCTTCTACCGCGGCAACGCTGTCTCGCACGCGTTCACAGACGACGCCACCGCGAACCTCGCGACCCGCGCGATGAAGAGCTCCGAGCTCGTGGACCTTGGGTACATCCCTGGTCGGTCGGCGGTCGACATGCGCTTCACACGCGAGTTTGTCCTTGCAAATTCGTCGTTGCCGCAAACCCAAAGCATTTCGTATTTCCGCCTCTTTCCGCGCAACTTTTGCTCGGCGTGCGACCCGGTCGCCGAGCTCGGATTTGGCGCGTGCAACATGACATTTGTGTACAACGCGACCGCCAAGACGATCGTCGTCTCGTCCAGTACGTTTATCGACGGCTCGACGTATACACTCGGCTTGATCCAGCCGCGCAACGCGTTCACAACCCTCGCGCTGTATGCGCGGTGTCTGGCGATTTTCATTGCGCTCAGTGGCTACATTGCGAGCCGCCTCACGGTCCATTGGCGTGACGTCGACTTGACGAAAACGGAGGGCGTTGTCTCGCACGTTCTGCGCGTTATCTCGCCGAAATTGTTTCCGTACCAAAGCGACGCGCTCACGCCCGACATGTTTTGCTTCAACTCGGACTTGTTTGTGTTTCTCTACTCGATCAGCATTGTGCTCGACACACAAAACTGCTTTATCTTTGTCCGCAACGTCAACGTGTACAACAATCTCGCGCCCCAAGCCGCCCCGTCGATCCAAATGTTCTTTTTGAGCCTCCGCTTTCTCTGGCTTAACTGCGCCGTGCTGAAATTGCTCAAGATTTTCTGGAATTTGCTCGGCACGGTCGCGTTCACCGGCCACTCGAACGTCATCGAGTGGCTCAACTGGTCGAGCGTCGTGAGCGTGTATGTGAGCGCGATTGTGCTTGTGTACATTCCGCAGTTTATCGAGTACAGCAACAATACGTTCATCGAACTCCAAGGCCACGCCGAGTCGCTCGACGGCATCCGCATCGAAATGTTTGATAGCTTTTACGTGCGCTGTGCATCATCGCTCGCGGTTGGACTCATCGTGAACCTCGTTCTTGTCACGGCGCTGGACCACGGACTCAATCATAAACGCTGGAAGCTCCTCAAGAAACACACGCTCGCGCGCCAAGCCGTGTACAACAGCAGCTCGATTCTCTGTGATTTCTTCAGCGACGTTCAAGAAGACGACTCGATTGTGGCCGACCCGACAATGACGCTCTCGGCGCGCCGCCTCTGCACGCTCCAATGGTTCTTCTCAACGCACTTGACGTGCTTTGGGTTGCCCGAGAAGAAGCTACGCGCAAAGAAGCAAACTGTCATTCAAGTCCAAACCAAGTCGGCGCCGTCAACAGCGAGCTCGGCGATGACCAACTCGCGCAGTGTCGTCATGAGCGAAGCTGCCGCCGCCGCTCTCCTCGCCGGCTTCAAGGCCGGGAAGGACGACCCACGAAACGCCACGTACTACCTTGTTGTGCAAGACGGCGAGGCAAACGTTCACTTGCTGGATGGCGCTCTCTCCGACATTCAGAGCATTTCAATCCACGCCAAAGTGGCCAGCAACGCCAACTTGACCATCAAGTAGAGGGCACGGTTGTGTTTACATAGATAGATGGAAATTTAGATTTTAGTACATTACAGCGATTAAACTTTATTGATTGGTCAAGAAGCACCACGCAACGCCGTCGTCGGTGTGAATCGTCTATCACAGAGGCGACACGCCCTCGACGAAGGAGCTGCAAGTCGACGCCAAAAACAGAAAATATTTCGTTAAAAAGAGGCGCCAAATTCGGCCATGGAAAGTGAGGAATGCGACAGGGGAATGCGACGACAGCGTCGATCGATCGGGACAGAGTCCAAGCGCGAGTCTATTAGTCTATTTGTAGTGTAAGAAGGCGTTGGTGGACGGCTGCTGCGACGGACGGTGCTCGGCCTTGGGCTGCAGCGACGTTGCCTCGGTCACAGTCTTGGTCATAGGGGCATTTGCAGCAGCTTTGGCAGACGCCATGTCGACACCATGGTGGTGCTTGGCTGTCGTCGTCGTCGTCGTCGAAGAGGTCTTGTTGCCCATTAGTGTTGTGCGAGGAAAATGGAATTGTACCAAGGTGCCCACGTCGCGATCTTCTATTGGACCGATGGATAACGAAGACAGTCGGACTATCGCCGAAGGAGCTGAGAGCGTGCCGATCATGTGGGAACAAACCTGAGGTGAGCGTAGAACCATCACTCGGCCGTCGACGAGATGACTGACGTCCACCAGAGAACATGCCAGGAACATCCGCGAGGTCTCGTCAAGCACCTGCCTCGTCCCACGAGCACTTTGTCTCGGCCAATGGAACCTTCTGGTGGACGCTGCAAATTGCGTCCATTGTTCTAGGTGTTGACGGCTTCACGACCACGATAAACAAAGACAAACGGACACTTTTGATCATAGCCACGCCATAAACACCTGAATATGATGGCAAAAGGGCTGCGACTAACGTTACGTTGTTGGTGGAAGCAATCGTCACACTCATTATTTCTAAACAGATAGAATACTATGTGAAACTGGCTGTTGTCTTGCGAGGTGCGATGCAGGGGTACGCAATAGTGTACCCCTAGTGCGATGGTGGCCTCCTTGAGATGGGCCATTTCCAAGAAGTGGAAGAGGTTTTCCGCGCAAGGCCGAGCGATCGAGAAGACCGGTTCCAGGATCGCACACGATCCAAGATCCAGGCGCAGAGCAAACGAGCTCAAGCCATGTCCAAATTGATAGTATCAGTCAAATAGCTAACCCGCCTCGTCCACCACCAGCATGGCGGACACCAACACGGTTGTTGCCTGCAAGTAGTTCGGTCTTGATTGAGCAAATTATGGTGCAAAGGACGTCATGCTGTGTAGATTATGAGTGCACGTGAGCGACGGCACGGTGTCACGACAGGAGCCGCAGACAAATGAGAGAGCAGTGGCTTTGATTGCGTAGGAGGTGACCGTCACGGACTAGGTTGTCGTCGCCTTGGCGGCTCGTGAGCCACCAAGCTCGTTCTTAACGAATAAAAACTGTTTTACAAAAGCAGCAGTGCGTCCTCAAGCGGCCAAGTGCCTACGCACTACGCGCGTTCAAAATGTCTCGTATGGAGCCGACACCGTCCAAGCCTTCGCGACAACATTGCCATACTGGTGATACTAGTGCGTGAATATGCTCCCGACTGGACCGACCAGTGTTGGAAACATGGTTTTAAACACTGTTGCTTTGCGGGTAAAAATGGCTATTGGCTGCTCGGAATTCAACCGTGTTTAAAACCATGTTGGCAACACTGGTCGGCACGACAGAGTGCCACGTACACTGTCTAGTCGGGAGCGTCTCTGCAGGCGCCTGTCGACGCCGTCGGTTCTGGCGTCCGATCATTTCTCAATTGACGGCAGCAACAATGAAGACGACGGCGCTACTGCTACCGACCGTGCTCGTGCAGCGTGTGGTGGCTGGACCACCCACCTGCTTGTACGAAACCGGCCTCGACTATGCGGGCTTTGATCTCATGGACGTCGCCGAGGCGAGCCCGTTCTACTGCTGCACGTGGTGTACTCTCGTGCCGGGCTGCAAGGCCTTTGTGTGGACGCGCGAGACGGAAAGGTGCTGGCTCAAATCCGAGAAAGGACCGGCGACACCGCACCTGTATGCGTTTTCCGGTCTTGTTGGCGCCACGCGCTGCTCGGCCATCAAGGACAACACGGACATTTCGCCTGGCGCCGACATTGGCAGCGCGCCGTCGACGAGCCCTGAAGCGTGCTGCAATCTCTGCGCGCGCCGACCCTCGTGCGGCGCCTTCTCATGGATCCCGTGGTCGGGCGGCCACTGCTACTTTAAAGCGGCCAACATGAGCAGCGAAGAAGCGCCTGCCGCCGGTGTCCGCTCAGCGTTCTTGCTATCCGAAGGTCCATAAAAACCAACACGACGAGATGTCTCGTGGGTCGTTCCAGGCGAGGATAGTTGTCGCCATGGCGCGTACTAATAGTACTAGAAGTGACCCCCCGCTCGTTCAGCATCGAGGCAACTTGTGATGACAAGCTCTTGGTGTGACGTAGTGTGTGGTATTGGCGTCGACTCGACGGCGGCGAAAAGGGTTCTTCTACATGGACCGCCCGCCAGGTACCGGTTACGATGATCTCACTGACCTGGGACCAAAGCGATTGTGTTGGGTACAGCCAAAAGTAGGGATGGCACTGATGGACGCTGGGTACACTGCATACTCCACAAATGATTCGACCCGGCTGGATTACAGAGACACTACTTTACACGCTTACTCGTCGTCTTCCGCTGCCTCAACGTCGTTTTCAACGAACGCAACGACCGTCGCGCTCGCGTCCTTGGTGTAGATGCGCAGACCAATGACGACCGCACCAGACAACTTGTCTTCACCATCGTCCTCGTCGTCCTCTTCCTCTTCATCATCTTCGTCCTCCTCGCCGTCGTCGTTCTCGGCCTTCTCGGCGGCGGCTTGCATCTTGGCCTGCATCTTGGCGTTGATCTTGGCGACGTGCGCGATCTGCTGCTCGTACGCGGTCGACTGCGTGCCGCTTGCGAACGCGAGCAAGTCGAACGCGCCGTTGAGGTTGACGGCCTTGGCGCGGCTGTCGTTGAAATTCTGGCAGATTTGAAGCAGCTTGTCCGGCCGGGCAGCGCCGACGTCCGAGACGACGTCTTGGACCGAGTCGTTGCCGGTCGACGTGCGGACAATCATAAGATCGACGTCGTACGTGCCAGCTGCAAGGTGCGGGAACTCCAAGCTGATGCTGCGACCATAGTAGTTGCGGACAAACCGTCCGACAAACGACCGGGTCTCGCCGTCGTCACCGTTGCCGACCTTGTGCACTTCCATGCGGAGCCCGTACTCGAACGGGCCTTCGAGACCGTGGAAGTAGCGCTCGTCCGCCTTGGCGAGCACAATGTTGGCCGGCCCGTCGGTCGAGAGCGAGAACTGAAAGACACGCTGGTCCCACGCAGCTGGCCATGCCGACCGGTACTCCATCCACTCTTGGTTGACAAACCAGGTGGCGTCATAGAGACGGGTCCGGTCGATCTCGGTAAACTCTTCGATAAAGTCTTCGTACTGCATCCAGAACGCGCCGTCGTCGCCAAACTTGTGATCCAGCGCCGCCATCCACTCGGGCGTCCACTCTTTCGAGCCGTCCGACCAGCGGCCGTTCCACTCGTGCTGCCCCCACGGGTTGCGGATCATGAGGAAGCGCGTGCCGTTGACTTCAACTGCCTTGAGGATCGAGTACGCGTGCAGGTGCACCAAGCCGTTGTCGGAGCGCGACTCCAAGCCCGAGTTCTTCTTGATAATGTAAGCGGAGAAGAGCGTGTCGACGTTGGTGCGCGAGAACTCCTCGGCCCAAAACCGGTCATAGTTCAAGATGTCGGTCATGAGCACCTTGGTCGAGACACCGCCCGTGAGGTCTTCGATGCCTTCGCCCGTGAAGCCGCCTTCGACCGACTTGTAGTCGCCGTGGAGCTTCGTGTACGCCTTCTCCAGCAGCGGCAACCACGTCTCGCGGGCCGACGACGACTTGCCAAAGAAGAGTGCTTGCGACCCCGTGCGCAAAAGCTCCTTGTACTTGGCCTTGTCGCTGATAATGTACGACTCGTACGCGTGATCAAAATCGGTATGGGTCACGTAGAGCTGGTCGTCGATGATGACGTGCTGCCATTCGCCGTCCTTGAAGAAGATGAAGCCGTAGACACCGACCTTCTCGTCGCGGGCGACACAGATGTTCTCAATGACCCGGGGTACCGAGCACACTGATGCGAGCGCCGCGAGGAACCAGCAGTTGCCGGTCGTGCCTTGCTGAATGTCACCGGCGTCGAAGCCATCGTCGCAGAAGATCGGGTCCTTGAAGATCTGGCGGACGCGGAGCGCACCACCCGGCGTCGTCGAGTCCCAGAGGTCGGTGAGCGAGCTGAGGCAGTCGTACTCGTTGCCGGCGATATCAAACTCAATGTCACGGAAGACGCGGTTGTTGGCCCGGCACTCGGCGGCGATCTCGGCGACCTCGTCCTTGCAGCGCGCAATGGCCGTCGCAAGGCTCTCCGTGCTAATGAGCGACGGCTTGGGCGGCGCCGCGTCGCTGGCGAGGCGCGTGCGGCCATGCGGCTTGGTCTTGGTTGTCTTGGTCGGTGCCATGGTGCAAAGTGCAAAGTGAGCAGTAGGATATATTGTTCGATCGTCAGGCTGGCTGACGTCGAATCTTACCTCGCAATCGTCGTTGATTGGCTATTTCCACCTCTGACACGATCTTATTGCCCAATCACGGACGCTTGGATGCCTTTCTGGACGCTGAAATTCGATGCACATCGACAACTCAGCCACCTGGTCATACGAGCATGCCCATCGAGGGCCGACCCCACTACAATCACACGCACTGCACTGGCACCTCGCACTGCTGCACGCCATGTGGCAACGCTTACTTGCGAGCATGCGCTGTACTTGGTCGAGATCGCCAGTACGCCAACACCACTACATATCTATTCCATGTAGGGTGGGTACCCAGCGATACTATGGCATATTGCTAGCGACCTGGGCTGCTATTTATGCATTGCGAGACGCAGGCCTGCTCCGCTGAAGCATGCCGCCACGTGTGCTCGGACCCCTTATACATGCCTACCGCTTGGACACGCGCGAGGTACTAGGGTAATAAATACATGCAAAGGACACTCGCCAGCTACATGTGCGTGCAAGGGACTCGCGCCGCACAATCGCCTGCCGAGGGGTCGCGACGTCCGCCGCAGGGTTGTGAACGTGCTGCTACGTACTTAACTGGGCACAGTGGGTGCGCCTTTCCATATGGGACAAAGTGGGTGCGCCTCTCCATATGGGTGCTTTTTTGAGTGCGCTGGCCGATTGTGATCAATCTTCGAACCTCATCCGTACCTTCCCACTCTTCCAAGCGCCACCATGTCGTT